AACTCAATGGGAAAGAAAATAATTCTTATTTCAGCCGTTACGTATATTAGCTGTGACATATGAATCAAGATGTTATGACCAAAGAAAGTAGATTGACAGATGACCGTTGATATATGATTGGCTGAATTTAGGTGTTCAGGCTGACCTATAACTGACCTGCAATCTTCTTAATTTTGGACAATATCGTCTGATAAAGAGTAGGTTTATATACATGTTTAAGCCAAAAGATTTGATATTTAAATACAATTTCCCTCCGACTTTAAATCTGAAATCTCTAACATAATAAGATCAGACTAAAAGACAAGGCGGTAGCATAAATAATATTATGAATGATTTTCACTACATACTGACCCACATTAGATAATGAGTGAAGATGTTTGTTGTCCTGTAAATATGAAAACCCTGTCCTATTTATAGATGAGCTGTATAATGATGCTGATAATGAAGGACTGGGAAATGTTGGAAGCTTTAGATTTCTGCCTGCTGCTTCTAATGTGGAAACATTATTTATGCTTGATTGGATTTTTACTATTTTTAGTTTTCCTTCTTAATTGGTTGAACACAGGAAATAAAATCTAAATGATGTTAACATAGAAAGAGAAAACTAAGGGCCACGGTGACTGACCCCAGCAGGCCGGGTGGCCTCAGTCATCATGCCACTGGGGCCCCCAGCAGTCCCGCTGACTGAATGCCGGTGAGCTGTGAAGTTCTGCAGCTAGCTTAGCGGCTAACACAGCCTTAGCAATGTTCCCAGGCATCCTCAGACGGCCGCCACCCGGTGGAGCCTTCAGTCCAGGGCCATTTTCCACACGAACTGCCGGCTAACTGCCGCTGTACAAAGTCCTACAGCTAGCCGCTAGCCTTTAGCAGCAGTAGCAGGGCTAATGTTGCCTGGTGCGACATAAACAGTGAGTGACATTCGCCGAAGATTAAACTTAATGGCAACAAAATCACCGTTTTGCCTAAAATACTGGGGGTCATTTGTTTTACGCCCCCAGAAAACGCTGAAAGAGCCGCAGCTGTCAAAACAAGCAGGCTAGTGCTAGCAGTAGCAGCTAGCACACCGGGGTGATGCTTCCTTCCCCGCCTGTTGACAAACTATTCAGGCTGTCAAAACTGAAAGTGTTGTTGTCACGGCGTGACAGAGAAGCCCGGTGCTTACCGTGAAGCGCTGAAGCCTGGAGAATGGCCCCCGAAGTCCCGTCGATCACCTTAATGCTCCCCTGGCTGGTAACGGCTAAGATAGCGTTGAGGGCCGGGTGGTAGGACAGACTTCGCAGGCCCTCCTCGTCGCAACGCAGGCACCCGTCTCTCACTACAATCCAGTCCGAGGAGGCGGACGAGCCCGAGCCCGGTGAGGCCGCGGCCGCCATCTTTCCTATCCCCCCACCCCCCCTTCCTCCTCCTCTAGGTTTATCAAACCCGGAAATTAACTTAAAGTGAATTCATCAAAGGGGCAGATTCCAAATTAGCAGTCCCCAGCCTTCTGCGGCTTCTTCTCCGCCCGTCTCCGCCGCAGCTGCTCTTCACCATCGGCGCAGAGGAACTCCAGGCTAGGCTCTGTCACTACACCATCGGAACACGGAGCTCGCGTACCGCTTCTAAACATCTCGCGAGAACACAGCGCCGAACGAGAGCTGCCTCTAGGACAGCTGATGAACATAACTATCAAGGCTTTGCAGCTATGCTGGTTACAGTTCACAGGGGAGCATGGACAGTCATTATATAAAATATAATATATTATAT